CTTGACAAGCCAAGATCATAAGAAAGATCGTCGTCCTCCTCATCATCGTCATCAGTTTGTTTGTGAGCCATCACATGTGCAAGCCTTTGCGCTGCGGCTTTCGTGTGCTGCGCTTTCTTCGCACCCACTATTCCAGCCGACCCCGACCTCCCATGGTGGTGCATTGGTGACATCATTGGCGAAGCTGGTTGCCCCGGGGTTCCGCCACTACTATTACTCTTCTGCCTGACATACACCGGCCTCATCCGATCCATAGCTTAACTGCCTCCGCTGCCATCAAAATTTGATGAACACCAAGAGAAATTACCAATGCAATTACATACATCAACACCAACAAAAAAATGAAGAAAAAACTGAATTCTTCAGCAGAAAGAAACCTGCTTTATGAATCTTTGAAGGAAAATGCAGCTCTATTGCCTCCAATTTCGTGACTTAACGGAACGCCATTACTTGCAACGCAAGAAATTAAACTCGGATCGTTTCGGTTTTTTGACAAAATTCAATGATTTCACATTAGGGTCATCACCAAATTTAGAAAAGCCAGAGTTCCAAATTAAGGTCTCACAAATTTTTGTTTCAAACGTTCAAAAGTTGAAAACTTGGCCTTCAAATTGTAGAGCTTTTTTATCAACAGAATCAAAATCTTGAAGCTTTTACGAATTGTGGAGTGGGAAGCCGAAGGGACACGATCCGAAGTTTGAGGCGCCGAGGGAAAAAGAATTAATGGAGCTTTTGGCGTTCGTTGGGACACGTTTGGTTTGAATCAGTTGGTGCTAAATATTGAAATAATTTTGTTTTAAATATGACTTGGATTTTGATTAAAACAAAATAAAACTCTCTGCTTTTTCATGTTTTTGGCACTACGTTTAATAATATTGTCACGTAAATTGAAGTTAAATGTGACAGAGATTTTGTCGAAAGTCCCACTTTGACATAATCTACTGTTCACTTTAACGAAAAACTACATTTTTACACTAAAAAGTCAATCGTAGTACTATTCACTTTACTCTTTATTTTGTTCTTATCGTTTCAAACTCTTTTCATTAGTTTCCTTTAAAATAAATGTGCTCCCTTTGTTTTCCTCCATTTGAGTAGATTAAAGTAGAATATTATTGCGTCAAATTGTTTATTTAGACATTGTTATTATATGTGTAAATAAAATTTATCAGTACTCTAACCTTTTTGTTAGTTATAGTTGATTTGAATAGTTTTCTTCTGTTAATATTCGACCCATTTAGTTTGATATTTGAAAAAAAAAAAATCTCAATATTTGAGGACGTTCTAAATTTAAAATTTAATTTCTTATTTTATACAAACAAATATTTAAGGATAGAAAGTCAAAATATTGAGTACATGAGTAAATGCTGTTAGCCGATTAAGTTATAAATATGTGTAATGCTATTTATATCATATTTTTGTATCACATTTTTATACCATCTTAGGTGACATCTTATGTGGATAACCATATCATTTGAATTAATCAGATTTTTAAATTTAGTTCATTATTTAATAAACTAATAATTAAGAAAAAACTAGTTAATTAAATGATAATTGTAGTATATGATGAGTATTTCTCCTTTATTTCCTTGGGTTTTACAAAATTTTCAAATAATGTGGTTGTCCACATCAAATGCCAACTAAAGTAGTATAAAAATGTGATATAAAAACATGATATGTGTTGATGCACAAAATCAGCGAGATTTTGGTACAACAAAAAGTGTTAAGTTTGTAACCTTCGCTAGATTGCTCCGGTCACTAGTGTAGATAAGTATGTAAATGATAGAGACAGGGAAGCAAACACAAGATGTACGTGGTTCATCCAGATTGGCTACGTCCACGGAGTAGAGGAGTTCTCATTAATTGTGAAAGGTTTACACAAGTACATAGGTTCAAACTCTCCTTTAGTGAGTACTAGTGAATGATTTAGTACAAATGACATTAGGAAATATTGTGAGAGAATGATCTCTATTTATAGAAGAGAGTTTCTAGTTTCATTCTGACATTAACACATGTTGTGTTGTGATTGGCTTCTGATGTCAACACGTGTCGCGCTATGATTGACTTCTGATGTCGACACGTGTCGCGCTTTGATTGGCTTCCTGATTAGAGGGAAACTCCTCTGGGTTCTTGACGGTATAACTTTGATCGGTGCTCAGTAGTTTTAGGATTGATCAAATATGATACAAACAATATGAATATCATTAATCTATAAATATTTTGCCCTCGATGAGTGAATGTTATTAACTAACTATGTATTTATTTGAGAGTTTTTGTATTTTTGTTTACGGATAAAAGAAATTGGGAAAACAATCAAAAGCCCAAAGCCTACCCGCCAAACATCCTTAACCTCCAGTCATCGCTTCTTTAAACATCCCCAAATCTCTAAAATATAGGGTTAGGGTTTTCGATTTCAACCCCCAAATCGCCATCGCTCTCAAAGATCACTCAAATTAGGGCTAATTGTTCCCCCCCCATTAAAAAATGCTAGCTCTCCAAGAAGCTCCCTCGCAATCCGGACTCCCAATTCCACTCACCCAGGCCCCAAATTCAAGCCTAGGTGACGGCGTTTCAGGATCCCGATTCTACAGCTGGCTCGGCGAGTGCCATGGGTTCTTCCACAATGTGGCTCTGATCGTGCCCTCCCTTCTCTTCGTCCTGTACTTGGCGTTTCAATCGAAAAAAAGTTTCTCGAAGCTCTCCCATGGCCGCTCTTATATCATGATTGCGTACTACGGGTGCCTCTGGCTTGTTAGCTTGCTCAACCTTGCTTGGTGCTGTTTTCAGGTTCGTATATTTTCCCCCTTTGGAAGTTTGCAGCTTTGTCTTTGTTCTTCGTTTAGAACTTGAATCTTTTAGCTGAATGGTAGCATTGTTGTGGGTAAATTTTAGGGCTTTCGGTTATTAGTTTTGGTGGAATCTTGTTACTTAGTAGTATGGTTGTTATTTGGAGCTCATCTCGGACTATTTATGTAGGAAGCACTTCTGCCAGAAGTGCTTTTGATATAAACAAGTCAAAATGTTTATTAAAAATCCAAGGGCTTCCGGGAAATGCAATTGGAATCCTGAACAACCACCTACCAAGCGCTTCTCTAGGAAGAGCTCATACGACCCTGAAGCCACTTTTAAGTTTTTCTGTCAAGCGTAGTTACGAGCACTTTTGGTTGTGAGAAAACACTTTTCGCCCTTCTAGTTCTAGAAGCAGTCCCAGAAAGGCCCCTGGTTTGCTGGCTGTATTTGATGTGGTGAATGCTGGTTATTCTAGTTTTGTGTATTAGGATTTGTAGTTCATGTCTAAATTCTCCTTTCGAGGCATTTCTTGATAATTTTGCTAAGATGGGGTTAAATTGTCACTTCTTTTGTTCAGGCATGGGAGTGCAGTCCTGGAAAACAACTAACATGGAATGTCTTATCTTTGTTCACAACCTCCGGGATGCTATTTTTGGAAATAAGCTTGCTGGCATTTTTGCTTCAAGGGAATTATGCAAGTGGGAGGGAAGCTTTGACACAGACTTTTGTCATCTCAGGGATCCTTGTTGTTTTGGATATACTTCTCAAGGTATCGCTTGTTCTTTTTCTCGAAATGGATTTTCACCCTTATGACCTATGTATGCTTGTTAGTTACTTAAAGAATATACAAATGGAAACATATGCTAATTATTTTAAGCTTCTCATATTGTTCTCTAATGACTTTTTGTTGGAAATGCACATTGGTGCATCATTGTGGTACATAATGGACTTACAATTGTACTCTGTTCTCTTCCAGGCAATTTATCTATTTGGATTTGGCATTCCATTGTTCATTGACAATAATGACCATGCACATCGAACGAAGTGGGACTTGTGGGTTGTCACAGGCTAGTGATTACTGCAATTTACGGCTTTATATTGTTCATGTACCATTCCAAGTGGAGAGAGAGGTTACCGGGTAAGTTCATCGGCTATTAATAAAATCTGATGTATACATCAATTTCATAGCTATTGAGTTAAATGTGATGTCTCTTTTCTTGTTCTGCAGCAAGACCTGCATTCTACAAGTATACCGCTATCATGTTTACGTTAAACGTACTATCACTGTTTGCTTGCTTGCTTACTGGAAATGGGGCTGGATTTGGATTCTGGTATGCGTGTAAATTGGGCATTGATCTGAAGTTTCTATTTTGCCAATATTTTAATTCAAATATTAAAGAGCTGCTTTAAGTAATTTTCAATTTTTTTGTTTGCAGGCTATATGGTGCTACTATTGTCTGTTATCACGCCTTTTATCTTCCGCTTTTGTATGTAACATTTCTGGCAGACTTCTTCCAGGTATTTGTAACTCTCTGTTTTTTATCGATAGTATTATTGTTGTTATATTGCTTTTCGTATTGGTAATTGATGTTTGGATGAAACAGGAGGAAGATTTACATTTGGAGAATGTGTACTATTCAGAGATGAAAGATGCTGGTTTCTTTGACGCTGATTGGGAGTGACACACTAACCTCCATATCGAAGATGGTCATGGTTCTCCGGGAATTCTAGAACGTAATCACAAGAGGATCCGATTATCACACTTGCTGTATATAGAAGTCAATATGTTACTGGATACCAAAATACTACAATGTATTGTGTCCTTTAGGTGTTTGTATGATTCCGTTGTATCGTGTTGCTTTTTCCAGTCACAAAATAATGAAAGTTGTCTTTCTGAGATTCTAGTGCTTATGCAATCACTGCCTGAGTTTAAATTTGAAATGATCAACTTGATCAAGTGCTGTTTGCACCAGTTAAAATCAAAATGAACCTGAACTCCTTCGTTAATGGCATGATTAGTGGAAATTAGTGCTTTTAAATTAACTGAAAGCCCTTGAAATGTGTTTTGAAAGAAACATTTGCTGTGTAATTCTTTTAGGAAGCACTTGAAGCGCTTTCCAAGAAGCGGATGTAATCCTTTTCTGGGATATCATTGATTGTACAATTTGCATATCTATGATTTTGATGCATGATTACTTATACGTTTGCCCTAGCTAGTTGCTAGATTTTTTAAACAAAGGGTATTTGGGATTTCCATTGGTTTCAAAGATTCCAAAGGATTGGTAGGATCGGTGGATGGATTTATCCTTCTCATCGTACAAGGACCTAATGTATGCTTCAATGGCGAACTGAGGTTTTTTTGGCGTCCCTTTTCTAACTCCCAAATGCTTGAGCAAGTTCTGGTTAAAGATAGCCGCGTTCTGCGTGGTTGTGACGTTGTGTTCTCCTCCCGCAGTTGGCCATCCGATCTCACCGATCACTATAGGAACTTCGGACACCCCCACCCGCTCCATTGCACGGTAAAATGCATCCACCATGGCATCCAACAAGTTGTAATATTTCACGTTGAACGTGTCCGTAAGAACTGGTTTTTTCGATTTAAACAGCGCAAAATCCAAGTGCATCGAAAGACTGTTGTGTACATATCCCAAGTAAGGATACACACTGACCATGAGAGGTGCTCCTTGGTTTCTCAAAAACCGGAGAATGTCCGAAATGTCGTTGTTGGCTTTTTGTATGAAGGTCGCCCTTGAAGGTGGATAAGGAGTATTCATGGTCTTATCGTAATCAAATAATGTGGTCACCTTGACACGCCCTAAAAACTTCTTGTCCAGCACTCGTCGAACGGCTTTCATGACCCGCAGGACATCCGCGATGTTGTCCTGGATAGCTTTATCGCCAACAACAATGTAATTGATGTCTACCTCATTCAAGTAAGGATCCACATAGTTCGAGAGCCACCATCTCACAACCGAGTCTTGGGATTTTAAGTGCTCGTTTGGAAACATTACAGCTACGGAAGTTTCTGGTTTGAGGGTTCTTAAACTTCTCATCACAGAGTTGTTGAAAGCAAAGACCATGGTTCTTGGAATTTTATATTTGTGTAAGAGCTCGGCCGTTCTATCTGCAGGAGGAAGGTTGGTTCCTTTTAATGGAAAGCAAACACCTACCGGACTTTTACTCCGAGTATCTGCCTCAGCGGCGGTGGCAGCAGCGCACACAACAAGCACTACTGCCCAAACAAATGAGCTCCCCATCGTGATTCTCAATTCACAATTCGCAAAGCAAAGCCTTGGCCTGCAGGTATAGTTTACGTACATACAACATGCATGCATGCATTAGGGGAATAATAATTCAACTAAGTAATTAGTTGCAAGAAAATAATAAATTGAAGCTAGGGTTTGGAAGGAAGGAAATTAACATTATTACCTTGAGAGAGAAGAAACAGCGATGAAGAACGAATGTACGACGTCAGCAGAATGAAAGAAGCTATCACGTAATTCATATATATTATTGGTTGTCAATAAAAATTGGAATTAAATTAAATCCTCAATGAGATTCATTGATCTGGTGCACACAACACAACTCAGCATCACAGTATATGCCTCTTATAAATTTGGTTACTTTCTAGCTAGTTATTTCCTTTTGATCGGTTTGGTACTTTGGTTGCAAACAAATAGAAAATAAGCACCTGCTACTTAGTACTACGGTTTAGTGGTATTCCTCTTCACTTAAATGTGAGAGGTATTAGGTTCGAATCTCGTGGATGGCTAATTCGATACTAAATTAGGCTGCCCATTATGTGACTTAGGCAAAGTCCTCTCTCTCCTTAGTATAAACTATATTGTTGTACTACAAAAAAATTAAAATAAGCACCTATGATGCACAGATACTTCTGTTTGGTTGTGTATCCCGTATCTAATACTTGATTGGATACGATACTTGCCCGATACTCTCGGATACTCGTCTGATACGTATCATGGTCTATGAACACGTCTTTGACTTGATGGATACGCGTATCCTACATTTAAGATATACGTATCCGGCTTTTAGAATACATTTACACTTTTAAAAAAGATAAGAAGATGAGAAAATTAATAGGAGACGTCTATATATAATTGAAAGTTGATGAATACAACGAGAGCTTCCCTTTAATTAAAACCATGAATACAATCTCACACTTCTTCTACTGTATATAAGCAGGATTAGATCTCCAACTTTTCTTCTTCAACAACTCAAATGTACTTGAATTTGAATGATGAATTATGTTTTAAAATGTATATTTTTATTGCTATATATTTTTATTTGCCGTATCCATAGCATATCGTATCTTAATTTTTAGAGATTTTCGTATCGTCGTGTCGTGTCGTATCATATTGCTGCATCCGTATCTGTATCCATGATTCATAGATAAGCACGTTAATAAACACTTAAAGTAATAATTCAATCATCAACAACTACATCATATAGTTTACAAAGATGGTTTAAATAGATTATCTCTCTAGCTTTACTCTTTCCTTTTTATCGGTTCGGTTATTAGTATAATGTCATATTGCTTTTTCTGGAGAATCATGTGTGCATTGATTTGTTGAACCATACGCTCTGTACGTAGCTACAAGGAATGGAGGATTGCAGATTGAAATGGCTTGGTTTCTGTTTTAGATTCATAGAAATGTTCCTAAGTTTGAAGTCGATAGAAATGTTCCTAAGTTTGAAGTCGTATTCATCTGTAATGGGTGACCACGATTTAAACATCTAGATGGTGTATATCGTGTCATCTGTCTAATTTGAATTGTCCATGTGCAACTCGCATGCTAGACTTCTAGCTAAGGTGTGAGCTAGCAACGGCTATATTGCTCACACTCTCTTCGTGTTTGGCATAACAGATTGGAAGAAATCCGCTGTAGATTATCAAGAGACATTTTCGTTTTTTCTCTCTCTTCTCTCCCTTATCTTAACTCTCTGCAACTTGGAGATCATAATATCTGTGATTTCAGTAGCTAAAACCAACCAAAACTCGAACTATACAGCCTCAAATACACTAACACGATTTATATGCTGTAATATAATTTCAGCGTTTATATTGATCTCCTTTCCCTATCCAATACATTCTCTATCTCGATATGTGCCTGCCTACACATCAGGTAAGCAACCATGAGTCGGGAAGGAAATTGGTTATTTATAAAAGTTAAGGAGATAATCACTAAAATTAAAGTGTAAAGAAAAAATTAACTAATTCTAAAAATTTAAGGATAATCGGTTAAAATTAAAATTCGGAGGAAATTGCATGCCTGCACATCAAGGAAGGGCATACTTGATATTATGAGAAAAGGGTTACCCTTGCCTAAAAATAGTGGGCAAAAGCAACTTTTTATATTCTTTCTATTCGCAAATTTTCCCAAGATTGTTTTGTCTTATCAGAATGATATTCCCAATCGGGTCACAAAAATTGATTATATTTAAACTTGTGGCCTGTAAAAAAAATGTGCTATCAACACATCTCATTTTCCTTCTCACACATCTCTTGATAATTTATGTTCGTTGATCTTTTTTAATCCATCTGATCTAATGGCCGAAAATTAAAAAGATATGTGAGAAGTAAAATAAAATGTTTGAATATCACACCCCTAAAAAAAACCGAGGGAAATCCCAACTGCAAAAAATACATGACTTCTCTCACTCACAACTCCGACCATCAACAATGGCGGCGTCTCAACCGTCCGTCCGGCCTCTGCTTATATTTCGCCGAAATCTCTCCGCCTCACCCACCGCCTTTCCCACCCACACACGTCCTCGCTTCTGTCCGCTACCAAATTATGAGAATTTCAGCATTTCAGACGGAAATTGCCCTGAGACTGAGAGTTTCCTTCTTTCCTCCATTTCCGTGCTCTCCGAGCTTCTCTCGAACCCCAAATTCTCAAAGGTATTGACTTTTTGTTTGTTATATCCATTTTTTGTTTGTGATAGTGTAATGTGCTCAATTTTGGGTTGTTTTTGTTTTGCCTAAATTTTAATTCTCAATGAATTTTTGTTACTTTGATTTGCTGAGTTGATTTGAGTTGAGTCATTGCATTACGGCGTGAATTCAAATCTCGTCGGTGGTTAATCTGACAAAATTTATCGTTGAAAAAAAAAACCCTTTGTATCCCAAATGACTATCTCTTACACATATCTCGAAATTTAACACAAATCTCAAAATACTCGTCCAACGATGATAAAAACCTTTTTAAGTTCTGTTGTTTCAGATTTGCAACAGCACGGTCTTGTACAAGTTTCTGAAATTTCAAAAACAAAACGAGAGTATCGAAAACTCAACAGAAACTCGAAAATTCATAAATTTATGGTAAAACCACTCAACTACGAGGTTCGGATTTAACGCAAAACAACCGAGTACATAACCAGTCTACCAAGTACTGATCTCTAAAGCAGGCTAGGAAATGAAAATGCTTCTCGACTCGTTTCCATCGCTTCTACGCCTTGTTTTTCTCAATGAGCTTCTCAATAACATCTGCGGCATCCTGCACGGTTGCAATGGTCTGAGCGCTTTCCTCTTCCACACTGATGCCGAATTCCTCCTCAAGTCCCATCACAATCTCAACCTGGAGTGCAGCTTTACATTAGAACAAATTCAAGCTACAACAAATAACAATGAAGTTTAAATACCGAAACTGTAACTACGGTAGAGAAACCAAAATGAATTCTACGTCTGAAGATTTTTAACTGCAACGAACATAGAATTTTGAAGGATTGCACCAAAAAATAACCAATATGTCTCGTTATTCTTCACTAGTACTGCAATAGTCGTAACGATTGTGAAATGTGGTATATTTTTCTGGTTAGAAGAACTCCCTGCGAATGCGGATGAAAAAAATATAAAGAAACCGGGGTAGCACGTTAATGAATGTTGAATGTACCGTATCTAGAGAATCAGCTCCAAGTTCGGAAAACTTTGACTCGCCGGTAACTGCAGAGTCATCTGGCAATGCAAGTTGCTTCTTTACTATCTTAGACACCTTTTCCACCGTATCCGGCTTTGCCTGATGAAGGACAATCAAGATTACCACAGCTCACAACTACCACATAACTATATCAAAATTTTAAAGGAAAACTAACGAAAAGTCCCAAAAAACTTTAGTTTTGATGAAAAATGACAAAGAAATGTGTAGTGAATAGTAACAAAGAAAAGTAAAAATGTGGTTTTTCTAAAAGTGAAAGTACGGAAATGATTTGTTAAAACTCCAAGTTTTTAATTTTTACTACATTTGACCTAATTCAGGCAAACTTGAGAAACACTCAAACAATGGCAGGCTTTTCCATTCCGGACATAAAAGCATTTATCCCTACAGCTACATGCCTACAAAATAGTGTTCACAATTCACATCAATCCGAGCTTTAAACTGTTACATCGTAAGTATAAAGCTCGGATTGATCGTGCATCCAATCTAAACCTTTGAGACCGAAACTTTCGACACTTCCAATGAAACCCCAGGATATTGTGAATGCAAAATTCAAACTGTAAAAATCATAACAAACAACAAGAGCACTCCAAACAAACACATACAGCGCAGGAAACGCGAAGCCGGGCCGAACGTTGTTGCAGCCCGAAAGAGAGGGAACTTCTTCCATAACCAGCAAGTGAAACTGATCTCAAACCATTAGTCCTGGATAATGCCTGTTCAAAGATGAATTATTCAATAAAATTCAAATAAAAAATTCAGTAAAATGCGAATTGTTCATGCATTTTTTCAAGGAAGTCTTAACGAAACACTCATACTGTGATATTTTTACTCGAAAAAATCACTCGTGATACTATTCTCTTGTAACACATTTTTATCATTTCGATTAGAATTCAAAGTTTTCAAGTCTTTTTCATTAGTTTTCATTTTTTTCAATACCCATCAAAACATAGGCAATTGGGAACAATTTCAAATATAGCATTATATATATAAAATCACAGAATTCCAACACCAACCCAATAAAGCTATATAATCGAGAAAAACAATACCAACATAATTAACTTTCACTACAATTAAAATCTAAAAGCATGTAAAGTAAACTGTAAAAAATAAATATGATCAAAATTGTAAATTAACAGTGTAATTAAAGAAATGGGATTACGATATTTTGGTGGAACTGCTGGGGGGCGGAGCGGATGAGGGAGATCGCAGAAGCTCCGGTGACGGCGGCCATTGATGGAGTTACGGCGAGACCGAATTAGAAGGAGAGGTAGAGAGTGAGACGGCGAGACCGAGGAGAGGAGTAGTGTGAGAAAGAGGGGGCCGTTGGCAGGTGGGTATTTATGGAACAGGGAGAAGGATTCTGCGACTGACACGTGTACTGTGACAGAAGGCAAGAGAGAGTGACTGCTGAAATGGTCACTGACTCATCATGAACCGACGGTACAAATGCTTTCTACTTAATGGGCCTGAAAAAGTTGGCTGTTAAGCTTTTGAAAAATATTTTGTTCTTGAATTTACGACGTGAAATGTCGAACAACTCTTTAAAAAGAATCGGATCCTCGCCGGATCCTGAGATTTATATATTATGTATGTTCATCGTATGGTTAGAAATTATTTTAAATATTTTTATTTAAAAAAAAAACATAAACGGTGTTTTGACAAAAACTGATCGCACAATATACGATGAACAAACACGATTTACGGATTTCCAAGATCCTTACCAAAAGAATCCAGAGAGGATCCTGTTGGCTTTAAAAAGTAAGACTTTTATGAATTTTCAATTAATTTACAATTTATCGTTAATTTTTGTGTCAAAATCATAAAATGACAAAGAATTTCACTTTGTAAAAAGTACCGCTAGCATTTCTCATTTATGATTTCTTTTCCAAAATTTCAGCTTATGACTTGAAAACTCTCCCCATTGTTTGTCACGTTTTTTGAAATGGCAAAAAGCATTTTCCAACAATCAAAATGTTTCGAACTATTTTTAGAAAAAATGTCAAAAGTAATTATGAGTTGTAGAAGCATATTTTAGGTGTTTCTTTTTGAAGCACTATCAAATATTTTTTTGGTAAACATTTGAGTTGTTTTTTAAATTCAACCATTTAAGCACTTGTGAACAAATATGCTTCCACATAACCAGTCTCAAATAAACTCTAAACTACATAGTTTCTTTTCGAACTAATGATTTAAAAGTAGAATCATTTGCCACCTAATACTATTAGTGGTAGTTCTCTTCACTTGTAAGTGAAAGGGTTTATGTTCGATTCTCGCCAAAGGCAAATTTGATACACATTATTGCTAACTCATTGTGAGGCTTAGCTCATTTCCTCATTATTTAGTGTAGATAATATCGTTTGTTAAAACAAAGTATAATTATTTATTTAGTGTAGATAATATCATTTGTTAAAACAAAGTATAATTATTTGAACTTGAATTCTCTTTGAATAAATCTTCAAGAAACTATGTAAATTTTGAATTATTATTAAAAATATATATAGAAAAGGATGAACTTTGAATTTTTAATTTGGTTAACTTTGAATGAGCATGAAATTCGGATGGGATAATTCAAGGTGCAATAAATTCTTCTTGGTCTTCTCTTTGCATGACCAAATTATTAGGAAAAAGCAAACCATCTTAAGTAAGAGATGTTGTCACTCAGTACTATAGTCTGGTGATGTTCTTTTTTACTTGGAAGTGTGATGTTTTAGGTTCGAATCTCGTTGATGGCGAATTCGATACCAAATTAGGTTGCCCATTATATAGTTTCCCGAACTTTCCTTTTTCCTAATGTAAAATATCGATGTACTTAAAAAATAAATAAATAAAAAAAAAAGAAAAAAGAAAGAAAGATGCCGAGTCTCTTCGGGCGTATGGTAATTTTGACCTTTGATGCTATGACATTCTCGAATCCCAACTTTCTTTGCTGATTTTATACGAAACCTCAATTAATGGTGGTCTTCCATTTAATTAATTAGTATTTATTTGGTTTAATTCGACTCAACGATGCATAAAATTTGAAAGAGAGGGCGAGTAACCTTATCATTTATCTTTTTATTTCAACTTTCTCACTATTTCTCATGTCACATGTATTCCGCTAGCACTCAAAATTAAAATTTTAATTACTTTTAATTGAATTATACTAAAATGTTAATTTGTCAACCAAAAAGTAACTAAATTTTTAGATTTAAGTGTTAGTAAAGTACATGTAGTACTAAGAGAAGTGAGTTGGTTAAAATGAGAAAGCAAGTGAGAATGAAATATTTTTGCTCAGCACCCTCAAGTAATGGTAATGATCATCACTCTATTTATTATATTTGAATGTATTTAAATTTTGAGAACTATCTAACGAATAAACAAAAATCTTAAATTTAAACTCATAAAATGATAATAAGTATCACCGTCACTTGAAGACGGTGAGTTAAAATGCATCCAAAAAATAGACTTTTTGGAGTTTGGACATGCCAATAGCGAAGAGCGACTTGCCAGGTTGTACATTTCAGTATCGGCCTTGATAGTTTTCCTTGGGCCTGCTTGTTTGTTTGGGCTCCCGCCTCATTTCAACCCGACCCAATAGAGTAAATATAAAAAAAAACAGGATTCGGTATAACCCGACCCAGTGGAGCAAGCAGGGCGAAGTAGCCCACCGTCCAAACGGCGGGTACAACTAACGCTCACCAGCACCAACAGGAGATACTTTTGATTGTGACGGAACATTGGTACATCACGTATTTTTATGTAAACGGTGAAAATTTTTATTTTTTAAGTTGCTTGTTTGTTTGGGCTCCCACCTCATTTCAACCCGACCCAATGGAGTAAATATCAAAAAACAGGATTCGGTATAACCCGACCCAGTGGAGCAAGCAGGGCGGAGTAGCCCACCGTCCAAACGGCGGGTACAACTAACGCTCACCAGCACCAACATGAGATACTTTTGATTGTGACGGAACATTGGTACATCATGTGTTTTTACATAAGCGGTGAAAATTTTTATTTTTTAAGTTATTAATTTTTTAACATACATATCACATCATTTATATAGTGACACATAATGTACCATCTCATGTCTCGATTATACTGAAAAATCTCTCCACCAGCAGCCATACTACTTCGTGTTATTGCCTATCACTTTCTTCTCACCGTCAACATATTATTAAGCTCCCGCTGGCCACCAAACACGCAAACACGTCCTTCTCACTCCTCCCTCTCTCCTCTCTCTCTTTCTCTCTCTAGAATCCACTGCTTGACCACCTACTTGGATTTCGATTCCATCAAATCACCTTTCCATCCTTATTCTGTCGATTATATTATATTATTCATCCAAACGCGGCCTTTCCCAGCTCCTCCCCGATTCTCCATCGGTAAACGCTTCCTCAACCTCCGTCTCCCCTCTCTCTCTGATCGAAACGTCGTCGTTTCCCGAAGTCCATCTCCACTGAACGCGTTTTGACGATTCTTGTGAGTGAGAAGCGAGTCAACTCTCTCTCTAACCGGCGTTATTGATTTTGTATTTTGATTTTTATCCGGTCTGTGTCCTGTTTGGTTGCTGAGAAAAAAGCAGAGTGCGGGAAAATGGAAGTTGATTGAATTTGATTTTCCCGACAGATTTTATCGCGATTCTCTTCTTTTTTTTTTGTTTTGGGATCTAGTGCTCGAAAACTTTTTCGCAGCTTTTCTATAAAAATTATTCTACTGGGTCCCGACGATTCGATAATTTCAATCATATTCGTAATCGATTAGTAAAGTTTTTGTTTCTGAGATTTTCTCAGCAACCAAACAGCCGGTCAGTCACTAACATATACGCATACAGATACATCATACGTGTGTATATACATATATTATGTGGATTGTGAAGGAATTTTTCTAATTTCTAAATCTTTACATTGTTTCATTTCTATTCAGTAACAATGAATACGCAGCTGTTGGAGATTCAACCAAAGGAATTGAAGTTCTTGTGTAAGTTCGTCAATGGCAGACTGATCATTTTCTTTGTGATTTAGTGTTTATTCGATCACTGCTACAATAATCGCTGTTTGAAAATTTGTTACGTTTTGGTGTTGCTGGTTCAGCTGATTTCATGCTGTTGGATTTTTTCTAGTCCTTTTTTGTATCGAAAAGAACATCGATTTTGAAACTATGAATACTGAACAGACTGATTCAAATTCGTATTAGATAGGTTAGGCTTTGTTTGCTGATTGCTTTTGAATTGTAAACTGATTGCGAAATTGTTTTCGTAGTTGAATTGAAGAAGCAAAGCTCATGCTCGATTCGGCTTACCAACCTGACCAACAGCTATGTTGCTTTTAAGGTGCATATTGCATTTTGTTTGTTTTTCAAATTAGTGAAAACTGCTTGTGTGCATTTCGCTGAGTCTGATCAAATTTTAGTTGGATTGTAATTTGGTGATGACATTTGCAGGTTAAGACTACGTCCCCTAAGAAATACTGTGTGGTCCCAAATGTTGGTGTTGTCTTACCAAAATCAACTTCTGAGTTTTCGGGTATGCTTTTTCATGTATCTCGTTTGGTACGTTTTGAGTATGTGTTAACGTTTGATTGTTCATGTAAGCATTACTTCATCGGTATGTAGAGAAGCATGAAGTTTGACGCTTAAGTTCCACTTCTGAATTTTCGGTTTAAGATGACAGGAGAAAACCAGATCATTATATTCTGTATTTCACATTGACATTTTTAATATATGATGTCTCCTCGTGGATGGAATAGCTTAGCTACTATAAGGTTTTCCAGTTGCTTTTACATGGTTTAGGCATCATTTTTTTTGGCACGTGATTCAATCACAATGTAACGAGACCGTTTATTTGGTTTAGATTGCATTTAACTTTCTGATTGTTTTCTTCTTTACTGGGTCTTGTTATAACCATGTAAATTTTGTCAACATAGTTACAATGCAAGCACCACGAACCGGTATGGTAGATATGGAATGCAAAGATAAGTTTTTAATCCAGAGCACGATTGTTTCTTCTAGGACAACTGACGAGGATATTACAGCTAGCATGGTAAGTCTTGGTAGTTAATTTTGGTCTGGAGATTTTGTATTGATTTCTCATTGTTTACATATTACATTCACAGTTTTCTAAAGACGGTGGCAAGTACATTGAAGAGAAAAAGCTAAGAGTAACCCTCATTAGTCCACCCAATTCCCCAATGCTGTCACCAATGAAGGTAGACTTGAAGCAGGGGCTTGGCTATGAACATTCAGTTTTAAAAGATCAATTCGGTGGAGTTGAAATCCTCCCTTCGCTGAACAAGGTTAGAGAATCTATTCTTATTTGGCAATGTTTGATTCTCTTCCTCTATCTCCCCCTCCCTTTCCTTCCTTCCCATGCGCTTGCTTTCTATATGTATTGATTCATGCTCACTTTCTCCAAGTGCCTTGCATTGTCAATTAAACAACATATTTACGTAATGATGACTGACAACTCCGTGTAGTAGAAAAGTTTCAGGAAATCCAAATAATTTCTTGGTTTACTGTTATGTGGTTCAAGTACATCATGCAAAATTCACTTCCGGAATCTCATTTTGTGAATCTTATTTTGGACCAGGTTGCTAAGGATGTGAAGTTCACAGCTACTAATGAGATGCCAAAGCCATCAACGGGTACTAATGAGAAGCCAAAACCATCAAAGAATGTAGAGTTGAAACCAGAAAAAGACTTTGAAGTGAAACCAGAAAAAGATTTTGAGTTGAAACCAGAAAAAGACGTGGAGTTGAAGCCAGCAAAATATGAGGCATTGGAACCAGAAAAAGAGGCGGAGTTGAAGCCAGCAAAATATGAGGCATTGGAACCAGAAAAAGAGGCGGAGTTGAAACCAGTAAAAGATGTGGAACTAGAATCAGCAAAGGATGTGGAGTTGAAACCAGTAAAAGATGTGGAACTAAAATCAGCAAAGGATGTGGAGTTGAAACCAGAAAAAGAGGTGGAGTTGAAACCCGAAAAAGAGGTTGAATTGAAACCAAAAAAAGAGGCGGAGTTGAAACCAGTAAATGACGTGGAACTAAAATCAGCAAAGGATGTGGAGTTGAAGAAACCGCCAAATGCTACGGAGTTGAAACTAGAAAAAGATGTGGAGTTGAATGCAACAAAGATTGTGGAAGATTTGAAGTTGGCGAAGGATATCCAAGAGATGAAATCAAAGCTAAATGCACTTGAATTAAAGCTGAGCCAGGTTTTGGTCCCTAGCAGAATTTTGTTTCGAAACATATGATATTATTGCGGTTACGTTGCCTGTAGAAACTGACCTCTAGCAGTGTTCCTCTACATTATGCGAAGAGTTTATTTATTGGTTATACACTACCCGAACAGTTCTCAAAATGCAATATTAACCAGCTTTCCGTTCTTTATAACTTTGAGTTAATCGTCGTTTTTCAGGCTGAAGTTACTATTTCAAAGCTGACAGAGGAGAGGAGTTCAACCATTCAAGAGACGAGAAATATACAGGAGCAAGTGGTGATCTCTTGCACCCCTTCCGTTTTCTATTCTCGCAACTGTTGTTGTTTGTCTAGCGATGAACAATGATATGAGCTTAAATGTTTTGACTTGATTTTGGAAGTTTTATTTTGGGTTTGTCGTAATGTTCATCCTACTGTGCTAATTTCTTTAACGCCGCACACTCGTGTTTGCAGTTATTAAGACTTGCTCATGATTGCAGGCACAACTGGATATAAGAGGTGTGGATGTGAAAGTAGTCCAAGTCGGATTTCCTCTCCTCTTTGTTTGTATGGTGGCGATCATGAGCGTTGCTATCGGATACTGTATACACCCTTGAAGAACATGTGCATGAAGCTAGAACCATCGGTGGCAGTTAGATGTGTACAGATGAAGTTTACAGGGGACAGTCAAGCCAAATTTAATCACACCAGTGACATTAGATATACACATTTTTTTGTTTCCAATAAGGTATGTAGTTGTTTTCAAGGCATGGTGTTTCGAAGGAACCATATATGCTACTCTAATAGTTAAAAAAAAAGGTCGTACTCAGTGCACAAGGCTCCCGCTTTACGCAGGGTCTGGAAGAGGTGAATGTCGGCTAGCCTTATCCTCATTTATGGAGAGGCTACTCCCAAGTCTCGAACCCGAGACCTACCGCTCATGGGCGAAGACACTTGCCATCGCACCAAGTGCGACCTCTATGCTACTCTAATAGTTAATGCTTTAAAATTATAAATTCTAATCCTCCACCTTTACCCTTAAAGAATTTAATTAAAAAGTAAAATAGATGAGGGTGCGTGGGAGCAAAGGTTCTTGAACTTTATCTCATGTTTTGTTTATGTTCATGAACTCTCATATTAGTTTTCCTCATCCTTCAACTTAATTTTGCGTTGCATGAGTAGTCATTTCGTCAAATCTGATGGGATGGGTTTTGAAGAAGGTGGGGCAGGTGCTTGAACCTCGCCTACCTCTTTAGTTTTTGACATTTTTAGCTTTCTAGGTTGCTTTTTGGTAACATCCTTGAAGACCTTCACGAGACTTGTCCCATCAAGATTTTTTATGTATGGATTTAAAAGGCTTGTTAGGTATTAATTTCACTATAATATCCGTATGTGTTAAAGCAATAAACACAAAAATCCTATTGTGTAATGGTAATAGTGTGTCCAATAAGAGTGCATACTTGCATGAAATTATTTAGCTTGCAAGGGTATTTTCGGAAATTTAAACGAAACATTCATGGTACTGTTTACTTTTAAGGAAAAATCACATTTTTACCTTTCCCTGATACTATTCATTACCATTTATGTCATTTTTCATTGAAACTAAAGTTTTTTTTTACTTTTCGTTAGTTTTTTTTTTTTTTTACTTGTCAAAAGCTTGTAAGGTTATTATGTAGTGTAATATTTTTGGTATGCTTTGTACCATTTTTTATTCCAGATTTATCCCTAATAGTAATATATTATCTGAGACTATTCAAATGAGATGTGTCAAATTTTAATGTAAAATTTAAATTTGAAGGCTTATGTGCACTTTGATCTTTTTAAATTTTGTTCTCCACCTGATATGTCAAATTTAAACTATTATTTATTGGATTATTTATTTCATATTTTGACAACAACTTCAAATCTATTTTTAATGATTAATAAATGCTTTTTAATTATGTGCCCTTTTTTTATGCCATATAAGTGGAATGTCATGCAATCAAATTTGAAGGTAGGAAGAAGATCCAATTGATATGAATCAATTATAAATCTTAAAAAATTATTTAATTGATTTTGTTTTAAAAATGAGTCATACAAATATCATTTATAACAAAAAATATGGGTTAGAGAAAAAGAAAATCTAACGTTGCCACCTCATCAATCAAATTAATATGTGACATTTATCTTTGCTCTAAGAGTTCAAAGTTAAGTTCTAGAATTTATGAGAAAATTCATCAATATATGAGTTCGTGGATATACTATCAATTTATGAGAAAATATGGAATTAAATCTCACAATAAACTAAAAGATTCAAAGTCTCTGTAAATTCATGAAACCAAGAGGAAAACCAACGGATGACCGATTTATCAGTATATGAATTCGTGGATTTAGATTTACTTTCAATTGTGTTACCAAATTAGTTCATCTACAATTTGGCAACAAAAAGAAAAAAAATCATGTACGTTTTAATTAGTATTGTCAAATTATGCGATCACATAATTTAAAATATTATGACAGATGTAAAAGTTCATTATTTACCATATCCAGAATATTTTTTTCAGTTATTGACATATCTTGTGATAAGATAATGATGACCCTTTCACTATAAATATTGTACATCATTTTCATTTTGCACAACAAACTGCATTACCGATTATAGTATTTAGATTACGAGGAGAGAAACATGGAGAAATCCACACCCACATTGGCTTTCTTGGTCGCCTTTCTAGTCGTTATCTCTTGTAAGTATCTCTCACATTGTGTTACATTAGTTGATAAGATATTGTCACATTGCTACTTGATTCCAACATAAATTTTTAGTGACAAGCATGTCGACATGATATCAACCACTATGTGGTCTAGTTGGACCACAAGTAGATACGACATTTGATTTTGTGTAGTTGGGCATGCCGTGTAGTCAGACAACCTAACACAAATTTTATGCGACCTCTCGGATGTATAGGTATGCGGTAAGAAAGTTTAGTAACAATCTAAATAATATTAACGATGAAGATCTAGGGAGACATAAGAAGACTTGGAAAGAGATTTTGACACGCCCCGATCCCGATATCCTCGGGATATCAGGATGGTCACGTGCTGGCCGACACCCGAGGGTGACGAAAGCCATTTATTGAGTGCAATTGCTGAAAATAAAGGATAGATAAAACTTATAAATGTAAAAGAATAAGGAATATGCATTTAAGGAACGTGTTCAGAGCATACAACTAACTAGAACACTAAAAGAATGATATAAAATGGAATGAATAAAAGAATGAGTCCCACACCAAGAGGACTCGAAGATGCCGATGCGAAAGTGCCTTGATTGTCGGGATTGTACGCCTCGATCCTAAATCCTGAAGGGGGCGCAAAACAAACATGAGTGGACCAAGTTGATATATATATATAATAAAACAGTTATCAATATACTAACCCCCAGGTTTATGAAAACAAATATATAATGATGAACATAGGTTTTCCGAAACCTAGCATGATGTGCAGTATCTCAAATCATAACTCATATATAATAATCATTAGTGAATTGTCCGATAACCTGCAGGCCCCATGCCGGCTCCCCGTCTCTGAGCAGACAGTCAGAGGAAAATACACTTCAGGCCCCCCATGCCGGCTCCCCGTCCCTGTGCTAAATAGCCAGAGGAAACACACTCCAGGCCCTATGCCAACACCAAACCGTCGCCCAGGACGGACCGGAATCTATCCCTACGTCCCGTAGCGGAAAGGACCACTAGGTAAGTACAAAACCATTGAACATACATATATTGAAAAACAACTTCATAGTATAAAGTCATCCATCATCTATACTATAAAGAGGTGTTCGAAACATGTTTCTAAATATCATATCGTCATCCATCAGATATTCTATAAGAACACGGGTTATAGGAAAAAATAGTAATAATTCAAGGTAGCCTCAGTAAGCATGTTATCTCAAAACGTTTCATAAAACGTAATCATTAAATCATGCATTTCATGTATGCATTTCTACTATTAAAAACATGCTTTTGAAGAGGTCCACTCACAGTACTTAGCCGCCGAAGAGCCACGCAAACTAACGTCACCAATATTGCCCCTAAGCACATAAAGGGTCCAATTAATAAAACTATATAATAGCAATTGGATTTGGGAAAACGGACGTTGGAAACGGATTCAGAACGTCGAATTACCCTAAGAAGGGTCCCGGACAAAAACCCGAAAAGTCAACTCTAAAGTCAATGTTGACCGGAGGTCAACGGTCAAATTAGGTCTAACGGGTTTTAGGCTTGAAATCCGGATTAGGGTTTAGGTTAAATAGGATTAGGATTTATTGGGTTTTGATTTTAGGGTTCTAAGGTTAAAAGGGTTTAGGGTGAAAATGGGTGGTTTGGATTTCTAAGGTTTTGGGTTAAAATGGTTTAGGGTTAGGAAAGGGGTTTGGGTTAAGCCCAACACAATACATATACTATAAACACACACACACACACACTACACAAGGCCCTAAGGCCTCCTAACAGAAATCAGGGCTTTAAGCCCTTGGTTGAAAACCGGCCCAAGGCCAACCAAAACTAGGGCCCGAGCCCTTTGGGTTTTAAAAACATATAACTAAAAATAAAAACTGAATGGGTTAGGGTACTGGGCTAAGGCAACACGGGCCTAAGGCCCGAGGGAGAGGGAAAGGCCGGATGGCCTGGGTTTGTCGAAGGAGAAGGCCGGAATTTCGGCCGGAAAACCACCCAACTTTAAATGGCCATAACTTTGTCAATACTCAACGAAATCAAGTAAGACGAAAATGAAAGTTGTAGCCCTTGAAGAGACGAAGAGAATGGTACCTCACACGACGTCTAACTCGCCGTTTTTTGGCCGGAAAATGCCTCGAAAGCCGTCGGACTCGCCGGAAACTGGGTAAGATTCAAATGAGTATAACTTCTTCAATACTCAACGAAATTAAGTGAAACAAAAAGGAAAGTTGTAGTACTCGACGAGACGAAGAGATTGATACCTTACACGCCGGCCAACTCGCTGTGGTTTGGCCGGAAATGGCCTCGAAAGGGGCGGTGCTCGCCGGAGCTTACTCCGTGCCGTCGAACTCGCAGGGCAGGGTCCGGGGTTCGTTGCGAGCCTCTCTTCGATGGTGACTCGGTCCTAGTGAGTCCAGGGGAAGAGAGAGATGCGAGAGGTTGAGGGAGAGAGAGAGACGGGAGAGCTGAGAAGGAGAGAGCTACGGGAGGGAGAAACGAAGAAGAAGAAGAGAGAGATCAGAAAACATAAAAAAAAAAAAAACAAGGTGGGCCCCACGGGCTCACCAATTAAGGCTTTAAAACAATTTTAAAATATAAAAGAGGGTTGGGGTGTTTCAGATTTTAAGAAAAAATATTGAGTATTTAGAGTTAATAGAAAATTTGGCACAAAACTGAAGGCAGTGGTGTTTTAGATTCTCAGCCAACACCGTTTAGCGGGATAAGGGTTTGTTATTCTTGTTATTGAAATTTTTATTGGTTGGACAGGTTTTTCAAACGAAATTGAAGCAGCAAGAAACCCAAAGGAGGTTGCAGGTTTGCCATCTTTCAGAGTGTTGGAAGGTCAAAAGAAGCCACGGCTAGTGCCGATGGAGGGTGGTGGCTGCGTTTTTTGGTGGGACTGCAGCAAGATATGCCCTCCAGGATGCGACGCTGAAATTTGTGATCATGGACATTGCGCTTGTACTTGTACCTGAACAAATCGATGTCTTTCGAATTTTTTGTGGAATAAAGATGAAATAAAATATCATTAAATTCGGAAAAAAATGTTTAAATCACAGGCTACATTATTAAACAACAATTCCGACTCAAAACGATCTCTTCTATGAAGGCCGCCTTTTCTTGAAACAAAAATGAACGTAACTATTCCAACTGAACTCGCACAGTCAAGTTTCTTTAAGAATTTCAATTATATTCATTGTTACTTTTAACATATTTAAGCAATAGTTCTTTTATGCAATAGTTAGAGATTGGACTATGTCACATAATGAATCAACAATAATAATTACGTATCGAGCTCACTATCCATGAAAGTCAAACTTAACTTCTCTCACTTCTAAGCGGAGAGAAATAACGGAGTTAATGACAAATAAATTCAATTTGAGTGCAAAAAAAAAAAAAAAAAAAGTATACGACAATTGCGTAACCATATAAAATTTGATGGCGAAAATGGTAATAAACATGAATTGGACTATATGCACTGATCCGATAGCCCGAACAAAAGGGAAATAAAAATCAATTTAGAAAGGAAAAAATTATGCTACCAAATTAGTTCATGTGCATTTTATTTTTCTTTAAAAAGGGGACTATTTGATTGTGAAGTCCCGACAGTCCATCATTTTAGAAGCCGAAAAGACACACATAGCCATTTCAGCCTACCAAATTAGTTCATGTGCATTGTGGTTAAAACAAAAATGGTTCATGATTATGACATTTGATTTTTGAAATTATGCGATCATACATATACCATATTATAATAATTGTAAATAGTTTACACTGTACTACATCTAGATGAAATTTTTTCCAATCATTAGACTCGTTGCTATATTTGTCAATAAGAAAATAATGATAATCCTACTATAAATAAGGGTACATCAATCTCCACAATTTTCATCTTGCACTCGAAGTTTCATTACTTAATCACATATTTCGACGCTCAGAAAAAAATAATGAAGAAATCGACACTCGAGTTAACTTTCTTGATGACTCTTCTAGTTTTTATCTCTTTTAAGTCTTTCTCACATTGCATTACGTTAACATATTTACTTGTATAGTTATATGTCGGCAATCCCTACCCGCTTCACAAGCTAGCTATTGATGTCACATTGTTAGTTGATTTTCACACACATTTTCAACCACAAGTGTGTTGACATGATATGGATAACTATATAATTTAAGCATCAATGAAGTGAATAGATGAACACCATGTCGATAGTTGGCAACAAGTTAATATGATTTTTTAATATCTGATGGTCGAAAGTGTTCCGACCCAAGATTTTCCCTATGAATACTCAGAATTATAATATTTATACATTGGCAGGCATTTCAAAAGAAAGTGAAGCAGCAAGAGGCAAAAATGGAGTTGCAACTTGCAAGTTCGCCGTATCAACTGCAAGTGAGGTGCACTTTCTTTTGGGATTGCCGCCACATATGCCCTCCTGGATGCGACGGGGAAAGATTTTTTAGTATGATTGTCACGTGGAACATCACGTGTTTTTATATAAATAGTAGATTATATGTGTTAAAAGGTTATTAACTTAAAAATTAAAATTTTTCACCACTTGCATAAAAATACGTGGTGAACCATCTGTATTCACGTCACAACTAAAAATTTCTCTACGACGAGGGAATTTGTTACGACGATGGATTTTTTGCATGTACTTGTATCTGAACCTATTTGTTTAGGTTTATACTTGTGGAATAAAAAAGATGATATCTGTGGACAAGTATGAATAAATAAAAGAGGCAATTTGATTCACCACCTAGCATATCCATTTTTTTTTCAACATTTGTCGCTTTTGAAGTTTTGATTCGACTACATTTTACTCTCATGGTGCCTTTTTTTTTTCATTTTTCAATTGACCTACGGTTGAGCCAGAATTATAGCTTAGAATGAGTCTGAAAGTTTCAATATGAAATGTTCTTTTGATCTTACGAAAATTACTTTGTTGTATGATGAATGTGTCAATATGAAATGTTCTTTTGATTTTATAAAAATTACTTTGTCTTGTGATGACCAATGTCGTTTAGGTCTGGTATGGTGTCGTTCTCATCATTTTCTTTTTTAAACTTAAACCCCCAAGCCTCTCTGACATTTTTTCTCCCTCCACAAGTCACCAGACCAAAGTCTTCCTCAAAACTCACAAACAACGGATTGTCTGAACTCCATAGGAGGGAGCCATCAACCTCAAATCAAACTCTATGAAAGAAAAGTAAAAACGTCGATCGGTATCTTGAGCCTAAAAAAACCCTTGAAAATCATAAGCTTAGCGCTAAACATTTATGTGCGGGAAAAAAGAAGTCAGTGGTCTTTCATGGCTCCGGCGCTGCATTTATCCCCATTTTACGTGGGGTTAAATCTGATTTATTATGACTAATATTATGGATAATCATACAAATTAAATTTTGACAAAAATGAGAAATGCATACGCAAGAAAAAATGAAAATTGTACACGGACCCATGCCAAAAATTGGGTTAAGTCAGCGAACTAATGTCCTGATGTAGTTTTCTTGCTTTTAACGAATACAGCAACCTAAAATCGGAAAAAAACAAAGGAAAACTAATGAAAATGGCTTGAAAACTTTGAGTTTTAATGATAAGAACAAAATAAAGGGTAAAGTGAATAGTACTAAAATTGACTTTTTAGTGTAAAAATGTGGTTTTTCGTTAAAGTGAACAGTACTGGGTGTTTTTCATTAAAGTTCCCAAGAATAATGATCAAACAATCTTTAGCGAAATAATATCGGGCGTTTCCTTATGAAAATCAAAATGGCCCCGTCTATAACCAAATGTACCAAAATAATATTGGTACGTTTAAAATCGAACGTACTACAAAGACACAGACGTACCTAGGGATGGGTTTAAAATATCGAAAACCGAAAAAAATCGAACAGAACACCAAACCATGACAAAAAAATCGAACTAAATTGAAAAAATCGAACCGAACCGAATTCTTTTGGTTCGGTTTCGGTTTCAATGGTCTAGAAACCGAACCGAATTAATTATTAATATTTTTTTATTTAATTATCTTTTTTGGATATTATTTTCTAAACCCAATGTGTTGCCAAACTTTAAGCCCAAAATATTAAAAAAAAAACCTTTAGAAACTCTAAACCCTAACCTATTATTTCTCCCCCTTCTTTTCTTTTCTTTCACCCTAGCTGCACCTTACCATCTCTCCATCTTCTTTCTTTCTTTTTCTTTTTTGTCTCTCTCTCTTTTATTTCTTTCTCGTGGACTCCAGCCGCACCTTCATTCTTCTCTCCCTTTTTTTTATCCCCAACCGGACCTTCATTCTGTTTTGCTATCTAATCATCCTCTTCTTTTTTTCTCCCACTTCGTATTTTGTTGCATCAATAGTAGCCCACAAGTCCTGCAAACCCTAAACTTTGCCCACACTTGCCGAGTGAAACCCCAAAGAAAAAGAGTAAGTTAGTTTGCAGATTTTGTTTGATTTTTGTGTTGTGTGGTTGTTAGTTATTTAAATTTCAGCTAAATGAATATAATTGTTGTTGTGATTTGTGTTGTGGGGTTGTTAGTTATTTATTTTTAGTGGTTTTTGTTGTTCCTATGATAGTAATGCTTATGTTGTCAATTAGAAGAGTCTAATTGAAATGTTGTCCTCGATGGGTGGGTCTCTCGACTTATGTTATGATTGTGTTGGAGATGATAAAATTTCATATTTCAATTTCTTTTTCATTTTTTGGAAATAAAAAAAAACCAAAATTTAAAAAAAAAGAACCAAATCAAAATTTCGGTTCGATTTTGATTTTAACAAAAAACCGAACCAATTTAAACCGAACCAGCCTAGATGTACCATAGTTTGTATTTGAGAAAAAATGATGGTAGGGGATTGAAGACCTTATTATGGACTTTATAAATCTAATTTCAATTTTAATTATATGTGCTTATTTGATAGAGAAGTCGATCCCAATGAACTTAGAAGATTTTACTCGATGCATGTTTTTTTTAGATATCTTGTTGGAGAATCAAATTGAGGCTATTCACATATCTTTAACAATCATTGAGTAATATTAGAGAGTTAAATAAGATTTTGGTTATGATTTGAAGCCAATTCGAGAAAGTTTTCGAAATTCTTATTAAGAAAAAAACCATGAACAACGTCGACTTGGATTCTAGCGAAGACGATGGAGAAGTCGACGGAGTGTAGAAGGGGAGGAGTTGGTGGCGGAGATGTGGGAATGGGTGTAGGGAGTGGGTGTTTGGCCGGAGGTTTTAGGTACAAGTGGGTGAGTGATTAAGTGTTTGGTGGCTGCATTTTCATGTTTTTACTATTCTTTTTAACTTTTTTTTTTCTGTTTAAATTTTTTATTTTTAAAGTTTTCACTTTTTTTTTTGTTTTTATAGTTTTTGAAACTTTAACACGTGTGCTTCACAGATGTGCCACGCGAACAAATTAGTAGAAATTATAACATAATTGGGAAACAAAAAACAATTGATTAATCGGTAGAAGGCAAAATTGATGAGTTTAAAATATAAAA